AGGCCCAAGGACATTGTGAGTTTTAGCCAAGAAACTGGCTACTTTTCTTTGGGGTCTTTTTACCCTAACTGCCTAGTGAATTCTTACCTTCTATTTTTATCACACCATCCCCTGAAGAGGTTACCCAAATTGCTGATAGGGAATCGGGACACAGACTGCTCTGGCTTCTTTCATGCTGAAAAGGGATGCAGGTTGAGTCTTTTGGGGTACCCCTTGAGTGGGTCTATCTAAAAGACTCACAAATTGCATAATCAAGGTTTATCTGAGAATATTTGGTTTTTGCCCAAGCTTTATCTACATAGCACATGGTAATTAAAAGTACCAGACTCGTGGAACTACCCTTCTTGGATGTTTAACAGCATACTTTGAGGCCTATTCTATATGTTCAGAGGGACTTAAAGGACAGTTTTTGCTCCTTTCCATCCAAGGTCGACTAAGTTCCAGGGGACTATGGAGCATCCCTCAAAATGTCCTATAACTATGGTGAGTCACTTGTCCTCTTGTTCAGGGAGGCATTGAAGACCCCACTAGATGGACTTGAACCAGTGTCCAGTCTACAAATAGGAGGGTCAACACAGAGGTAACATTTCCTCCGTGCTTCCAAATGAAGCCAGGCACGGTCGAGTAGGACCTTTGAGTTACCCTCACATAGATGGAACTGGTAGAAGAATGGAGCCAGGGGCTCCTCCCAAGCCCATGGGACCCCAGAGGAACAGATCCTCAAACGACCTCAAGAGTAAAAAAAGGATTTATTTTTAAAAATGTATCTCTGTGCATGTGTGTGTGTGTGTGTGTGTGTGTGTGTGTGTGTGTGTGTGTGTGTATACACGCATGAGTGCAGGTGCCCATGAAGGATTGATGAGGTTGTTGGATCCCCTGGAGTTAGAGTTAAAAGTGGTCATGAGCCATCCAAATGGTCTGGTCCTCTGCAAGAGCAGTACACTGTTAACCACTGAGCCATGTCTCCAGCTCCTTGTATTTAATTTTTGCCTTTTCTGACTTACAAAGTTATATGAGCCTATAACAAGGGTTTATAGTTAATATATCATATCTCTCATACTTGTTTCCTTTGTTATATATTTCTAATATATATGAATACATACTCATTGTATGCATAAAATGCATAGGAATGCAACTTTTGTCTGTAATAGCTGCATACCTCTTTTATCTAAGTATAGTTCTTACCATATAAAAGTGACATATATTATATATATGATTTATTTATTTCATGGTACCCTCTCTAAAAAAATCTTGCTTTAGGAAAAAAAAATTAGTAGTTACAAATGGTGAAGTAAAGAGCCATTCAAGAATAATGAAGTTTAACTAGGCATGGTGATACATACTTGTAATTCCAGTCCTCGGGAACTACAAACATAAGGATTATGACCTGGGCTACACAGTGAGAGCCTATCTCAAAAAGTATTCAAGTGAAATTATGTTTAAAAAGCTTCCAATGACATCTATATTATAAATATGTTTATTTGTACTTTATCCCATTTACCTACACCATACAAGCTTAAATTTACATGGGGGCAATTCTTCAGTCAAAAAGAGTAAAAGAAGTACTAAGGAAATCACATATTTATTCTAAGCTGTACATCAAATTTTATTACGAATGCCTATCCCCTAATACATAATTATTTTGAGCATATAGGATTATAGTAGACTAAAGTCTGAATTTATATATAGCCACAGACAAGAGCTTTGCAGTATCATTTTACAAATGCAAATATGCTTCATGGGGTAGGGCTTATAGGTAGAGCACTTACATGTTCAAGTACCCCGGCAACACAAAACAAAAACCCAGCCAAATTCAAATATGTAAGACAAGTATTCGGAGAAAAGGTACATGAGGGTATAAGTGATGTGTTCAGCTTAGCTCTACAGATACTTTCAGCATCACTGTATTTTCTGTTATTTGAGGTAGCTGTCAATGATGTCCAGCAGAAATTTAAGCAACTAGCCAAAAAATCTGAAGTCCATTTGGGTCATTTCTGTCTATTATATGTGTGCCAAATATAGCTAATCTCAACAGAAAATCAGGTCATGAGGCTAATGAAATAAACTTTGTCAGTTGAGATGTGGCAAGTCCACACTGAGATGTGCTGGAAAAGTCTAATACATACTGGGATTTGAAAGACTTAGAAGAAGAATGGGATGCAAAATCTTATTAAAACTTTTGCATTAAGCATATGTCAAGAATATTGTCTTGGATACACTAGCTTAAATATACTATTAATTTTACCCAGTTCATTTTTTTGGTTTTCTTTCTTTCTGGTCATAGGGACCAAACTCTGGGCATTGCACATGCTAGGAACTGACTCTAGCACTGAACATGAACACATCCCCAGCCCTATTTTTATGTTTTTCATCTGGCTTTAAGAAATATGAAAAGACATTTATGGGTTGCATCATATATGAAGCAGCACCACTCTAAAGGGATGAATCACATGCCCAGCTGGCACTTGACTGTCCCCACAGCTGCCCCCCCTCCCCGGCGTTTGTTTCTTGGCCAGTAGAATATGTAGCTCATATAGAAAGCTAAAGAACATGGACACACAAAACTTATGAGAGAGGAATTAGAAGCGATACTAGGAAAATGACCAATTCTTTAGATATGCTAAAACATAAAGATGTTCTTTGCTTTGTTAGTTGAACTAATTATACATTTTAATGAGCGTGCAGCTAAGATGGAATAAGAAATTTCCTTAAATGGCTAAAAGACATTTCGTATTAGGCCAGCATATTAAGGTATTCTAAGAAGTCATATATTTAAAGAAAGAATAGATTTATGACTTCATTTTTCAGTTTTTAAATTTGATCAAAGGTCTAAGAAATGGAATAGTTGCTTTGGTGCAGTCATGGTAAACTGTTTTCTTCTGGGGGTTGGAGGAGAGTGAAGGGAGGCTGGCCTGGTCTGCTTGGGCAATCACCAGGTTCTGCTATGCTTGGCTTCCATCTAATATTGCCAAGTTCTCTAGGCTCCTCTGTTTGGACTTCAACCTCATTGTGTTATGGAGGGTTCAGTCACATGTGACAAAGCACATCAGAGGAGGGAATGTGACCTTAATCTAGATTATAGTAGAGTGGAAGGATTAGAGGAAGGCTTTGGCCTTTAGGGGGGGTGGGAGTGGGTGACAAAACAGGAAGCTAGGCATAGCGCTAAAGCAGGTATAGGCTTAACTTGAAAACAGGAGACAAGGTAGGGACACATCTAGAAAAGCACAGGCTGCAGGTGGCAATGCCTTGTTCTCAACGCAGGGAGAAGCGCTCCTGTTTCTGCTTTTATAATGAGTCCAGCAGCTTTAATGGCTTTGCTTTCATTGGTGGACAATCACAAAAGTGGTGAAGGGTAAAGAGTTCCATTCTAAATCTCTGGGAATCCTTTTTTTAAGGCTTGGCATGTCTGCAGATGTAGAACATCACATTTAAAAACAATATTAAATGCTCTCAAATTACTTCGACATTTTAAATACATTTATTTCAGAAAACTAATATATAAAGGAACTAGGTATTAAAATTTCTGCAATACTAACAATGTATTTCTGGTACAGAAAAGTGGGTATTAGAACAGATCAAACAAAAGAGAATGAAGTAGAAGCTGTTAGACTCATACCTATGTAAACTATTTAAAAATATTTGAATAGTTTTCCAAGATGAAAATATAAATGTAATTAAAGTATGAGAACAGTAAGAAATGAACCAACTGTAAGTGGGAGAGGAGGAAGAACCTGCGATTTAGAGAAGCAAAAAGCATGTAGCTATTCAGAGTACATAGTAAGAACTCACTCATGTTTCTACAACATGCCATGCTAACAGCAGAGGTGAAATTGATTACCTGGGAATAGGGATGTATCGGAGTTTCTTTGCTTGAAGATCAGTAACCTCTATGTAGCCAGCTGTCTGTGGGGGGGTAACATCTGCAAATAAGTCACAACATGAGCTAAGCACTAAATGGGTGCTGATACCAAAGTAGGACCCCAAGGATGCCGCTAAATGTAGAACGAGGTTCTCAGGAGCCAAGGGTAGAACTCTGGGACCTGCTTGGAAAGGTATGGGTCAAGCCCAGCTCTCATGGAAAGGACAAATAGCAAGCAGAAGCATTTGAGGCTGTGCTGCTTTACTGTCAGAAAAATAACCTTCTTTTGTTTCCCTTGTACCAGCTACTTGCCTCATTGCTTCAACAAGATACCTGGTCAAAGCATCTTAAGGAAGGCAGGGCTTATTTTGGTTCACAGTTTGAGAGCACAGTCTCTCATGGTGGGGAAGTCATGGCAGCAAGAGCTTGAGGCAGTTGGCCACACTGTGTCCTCAGTCAAGAGGCAGACAGTGACTAATGCTAATGCTTAGCTAGCTTTCTTCACTTTATACAGCCCAGAACCCCAGCCTATCGAATGGTGCCACCCCTGGCTAAAGTGCTTCCTCTCACCTCAGTTAATCTAGATAATCCTTCATAAGCATGCCCAGAGGCTAACCTAATCTAGATATTTCATCACAGGTCTACCCCAAGGCTTATCTCATAGGTGATTCTAGATCTGTCTAGATGGTTAATCAAAATTAACCATCATACTTATCTTTGATAGCTTTCCAACATGGACTAACATTTTAGCACTTAAGAGTTTATTCAAAAATATTTCTTCATTTGAACTCTGTTTTGCTTCTTAAGATGTCACAACATGTCAGGCATGGTGGTACATGCCTTTAATCCCAGCACTGGGGAGGAAGAGGCAGGTGGGCCTCTGTGAGCTTGAGGCCAGCCTGGTCTACATAGCAAATTTGAGACCAGCTGTGGTTACAGGAAGACCTGTCTCAAAAAAAAAAAAAAAAAAAAAAAAGAAGTTACAACATTGCTCAGGAGACAAGAGACAGTACAGGGCAGTGGAGTTAGCGCCTGTTATGGAATTGGACTGACCTGGTATGAAGTCCTGTCTCCACCATTTCCTAGCTGTGTTACCTGGGTCAAGGTATTGAGCTCTTCCAGATGTTTTCCTCATTGGTAAAATGGGCATCTGAGCATTATTTTGAGAATTAGGTGTAATTTGTAAATAAAAGGTACCTAATTAGCAGCTAGTTAGCACTCACTATCCCATTATCAGCCCCCACCCCAACCAAGACTGAAGGGGATAAGGAAAGGATGGGGTAGAGACTCTAGATCATGAAGACTGTGAAAGGTTGAGATTAGGAAAAGGCAAAGCAATGCAAGGGCCCCCCAATTCTGGAGTTAGTCTTCCAGCAAATTCCAGAGCTTGATGACTGCTATTCCTTAGTCCTCCATCATGTGCAAAGAATTCCATATAATTATGATCTGAGTTAGCTCTAGGGCACTAGTTATTTGCAAAACAGTCCACTGACTAAAACCTTGGCCATCAAGATATCTGAAGAGGAAAATGAAACAAAACTCACCCATACTAATAAAACAGAATTCACATACAACACACATACGCTTTTAAAGATTTTTATGTCTGTCTATATCATTTATTATCTATCTATCATCTATCTATCTATCTATCTATCTATCTATCTATCTATCTATCATCTATCAATCAATCAATCATCTATCAATCTATCTGTCTGCATCTTTCTATGTTCTATCATTTTTTATTACAGTTTTAGATTAGAATGAACTACCCAGGATACCCATATTGTATTCATTGAGAGTAGTTCACAAAAAATGAGAAATGACATTTCTAGTTCATGTTTGCAGTTGGAGGATTTAAAAAACAAAAAACAGACTAAATATGGATGCTAGCTTTGAAATCTTAGATATGCATGTTTCAGTTTCAAAATCCAGAGAGACCAAAACCTAATAAATGGCCACGGGGGGCAGTCCCTGGAAGGGGAAGTAGAATGCAATGATATAAATGAGGAAAGGGGAATAATAGAGTTGGATGGAATAAATGGGGTGGGGAATGGGAGGGGAGGGCAGAGGAGGTGGTATGGGGAGGGACAACAAGTAACACTGAAGGCTTTTAGAAAAAAACCTGTCATTACAGAATAAAGGTGCTTATCATAAGTCACATATGGGATAAGGCTGATCTCTGATAAAGTTTTGTACCATGTATCTTTTCTGTCAATACCTGCTGCTAAAATCTAGCTGAAGTTAGCTGAATTATTTATAGGCCAGGGTTCTTGGCCAAAAAGACCAGCTATTGAAGCTGTTGGGATAACTACAGCTGCCTAGCTGATCTAAACATTCAGCTTACCACTTAAAGTCATTTTTTTAAAAATACAAAGTATTATGTTGAGTTACTGCCAATGGTGCTTTTAGATTACCTGTAAGAACAACATAAGCCAATTCATTTCAAAATACTTTATCTGTATCAGGCTTTCCTTTCACTGTGAAATTAATTACACAGATAAAGAGGGAGTAAACGCAATAATGGCTGTGTATGCTATTTCAAGAAGGAGAATGCAAGAATTTTACTCTTGATATTAAAATAATTTCATGTATCAGCAAAAGGAATCAGTGGTTACAAAGTGCTTTGGGAAAATATAGAGGGTCATAGCCGTAAGCACTTAAGCAGCAAAATTCATGTTTACTGATCTAAAAATAAACCAGTTCAGAAGACAAGAATATTTACAAAAAAAGCCTTATGGCCATCCTTGAATAGAATTTATGAATGAATTAAGGAAGTGTAACTGGCCAGGTTTCTTTCCAAACATAGCCTCTTCCATCCATTTTAAACATTTCCATACTGTAAGAGGATAGAGGCTCAGTACATTTCCACTGCATTTATAACCCAGGTGGATTTCAAAGATAGGTATAAACTGTATTTAGGGATTAGTTCACTAACCATTAAAGGGAAGTCAGTGTGGCAGTGTTTATCAGCAAACTCCCATGAGCTGTGCAGACAGTTTATATGCACAAGGCCAAAAGTTAGGAAAAGGTATAAAAACTGTCACACACACACACACACAAAAAAAAAAACCCCAAAAAACAAAAACATAAAACAAAAAAACAAGAAAATCTTCAAAGGCATGATGAAGTTATAGTACAAAATTCATTTCTTTTGGAAATGTAATTTGATGCACACCTGTTAGCCAGTAGGATTAAGATTCTTCTATCTGTATTCATGATGTAAAAGTGGAACGTGCTATAGTAAAATGTTTTGGATCACGATTTTTTTTCCAGTAGTCTCTCTCTCTCTCTCTCTCTCTCTCTCTCTCTCTCTCTCTTTCCCTCTCTTTCCCTCTCTCTCCCTCCCTCCCTCCCTCCCCCCTTCTTCTCTGTATGTGTGTGTATTTATGTGTTCCCATATGCATGAGGAGCCAGAGGACAGTCTCTTCAGCATTAAGTATTGAGCCTTAAGAACCTGTTCACCTGCTTTTTGAAACAGGACCTTTGTTTGGTCTGGGGCCCACTAATTCAGCAAGGCTGACTGGCAAGTGAGCCCTCAGGGATCTGCCTGTCCCCACTTCCCCAATTCTGGGATTATAAGCATGCCCCATGATGTTTGGGATTTTGTTTTTATTCTTGATTGACTTATTATTTTTGTGTGTGTGTGTATTAGTGTTTCACCTGCATGTATGTAAGTGCACCATGTGCATGCAATGTCCACAATGGGCAGAAGAAGGCATGGGATCTTCTAGACCTGGATTTATAGATGGTTGTTAGTCACGATGTGGGTGTTGGGAACCAAACCCAGGTCTTCTGCAAGAGCAGTTAGTGCTCTTAACTGCTGAGCCATCTCTCCAGCCCCACCATGTTTGTTTTTACATGTGAGAACTGAGGATTGAAGTCAGGTCATCATATTTTCACAGTAAGTACAATCTGAGTTATCGCCCCAGCCCTCTACTGGCCATCTTTAGGCTACTGGAACAACAACTTCAGCAATTTCTTCCTTAGATATACCCCAATAGACTCTCCACCTATGCATAAAGAGGTAGGTACAAGAGTGTTCATAACATTTATAATGGCACACAAGACTAAACATGCACTGGGAAAGAAATGGTGAGCAAATCATATTGCAGCATGTAAAGCAGTGAAAATAAAAGTAGAGCTATCAGTCTGGTGATGACAGTTTCTTTTCTTGACTAGACTCTACTGAGGTTCTTCCAAGTTCTGTCCAAATGTGCCCTGACCTTCAGGCTTCTGTGTTTGTCCCTTGCATCATTTTGTAAAAATCAAAACAAAATTCTCTCTCTTCCTCCCCTCTTCTCTCAAAGTATTATAAATCTAAATGTGAAATTCAAAACTATAAAACTTCCAGAAGCAGAATATCTGACCTTCATCAAAGAAAGAGAATCCTTCCCCTTCACCAAATAGGAGAAAATATTCCTAGATTTAGGAGTGATATAGATGTCTGTTCAGGGTTGAACCCTCCGTAGTCACTTATTTTCTGGACTTAGACCAGTTGTGAGTTTCTGTGTTAACCACCATGCACTGCATAGAGAAGCTTCTCTGGTGAGGGGTGAGAGCTGCACTAATCTATGGGCATAAGAATAAGTATTTAGAAGGCAGATACTATATCCCTTTAGCAAAATAATAGTAGTAGGTTCTATGACCTCCCCAGCCATAAGCTCTTGGCTAGGTTTGTGTACCAGGCATGAGTTCCTTCCTATGGGGCAGGCCTTAAGTTTGATGGACTGCAGGGAATCTGGGAGGAGTTGGAGGGAGGAAGGGGGTAGGTAAATATGATTTAAATACATTATATTCACGTATAAATTACAAAAGAATTTTTAAAAATTTAAATTAAAAATACTGAAGAAAATGTTTGAAAAGTGTGTTTCTAATAATGGACTTATTCTCAGAATATATAAAGAGCTCTCAAAACTCACTAATAAGAAAACAACCTAATTTAAAAATGGGCAAAAGATCTTATGAGACATTTCACTAAAGTAAGAGACATGTTAAAAAAATGCTTAAATCACTGCGTACTAGGAAAAACACAAGTGAAAACCATAATGAGGCCAGTGAGATGGTTCAGTGAGTAAAGGTGCTTCTCACTGAGTCTGAGGACCTGAGGAAGACCCCTGGGATCCACATGGTGGGAGGAGAGAACTGACTCCTGTAAGCTGTCCTCTTCCACATGTACACTATGGTATGTGCTTATACATGTGTGCACATATGCATGCACGCACACGCAGATACACACATAATAAATATAATAAAACATAATGGGATATCACTACACACCTATCACAAGGATAAAAAACTGACAATATCAAGTACTGGTAAGGATGCAGAAAACTGCAGCTCTCATTCACTGCTGACAGGCATATAAAAGAGGTCCCACCTCCAAAGAGGACCCATATCCAAACACATCTCACCTCCAAAGAGGTCCCACCTCCAAACAGGACCCACTTCCAAAGAGGTCCCACCTCCAAAGCAGACCTGCCTCCAAAGAGGAGCCACCTCCAAAGAGGTCCCACCTCCAAAGAGGACCCACCTCTAAAGAGGTTCCACTTCCAAAGAGGTCTCACAGTCAAAAAGGTCCCACCTCTTTGAAACATAGTTTGTCAGTTTTATAATATGATACAAAAATGCCATTCCTAAGTGTTTACTCAAGTGAAGCAAAAACTCAAGTTCACTTAAAAACCTAAACATAAATGTTCACAGAGGCTTTATTTATTATTGTTCCAAACTGGGAACAATCCAAATATCTCAGTTTGTGAATGGATAGGCTAACTACCAATAGTGGTACATGTATACAGTGGACTCCTATACTGCAATAAATAGGCACAAAGCACTGGGACACACAACATAAATGATTTTCAAATGTATTCATAAGTGAAAGAAACCAGACTCAAAAGTTCATATATTGTGTGAGTCCATTAGTGTGACAGAAATAACATCAGCAGAGTGTTGGGAGTAGGTGGAGGAGCTGACTACTGGTGACAAGGGAAGTTTGTGGGTAAGGAAGATTCTTCTTTATCAACTGTGATTATGTATAAGCAACTGTTTGGATTTGGCAAACTCATAAAACTATACAGTAAAAAGACTGAATTTTATTAGATCTTAACAGAACAAATGTAAACATTAAAAGTATTACTCTGATGTGTAGATAGAGGTTGGGAGGGGAAGGAGTGGACAAGATAATTCTCGTGGGGCCAAGTCAGTACTCCAGTGGTATGTTGGATGGGATGCTGTGCTGCATAGCTTTAGTGTCAACTTGACACACCTGGGTTGAGAGAGCCTCAATTGGGGAATTGCCTCCATTGGACTGGCCTGTGGCCATGTCTGTGGGGCATTTTCTTGATTGTTGAGTGATGTGGGAGGGCCCAGCCCACTGTGGGTGGTGCCACCCCTGGGCAGGTGGGCCTGTGTTGCATAAGAAAGCAGGCTGAGCAGGCCAGGAGAGCAAGCCAGTAAGCAGCATTCCTCCATGGCCTGTGCTCCAGGTTCCTGCCCTGAGTTCCTACCTTGGGCTCCTGGATGAACTATGACCTAGGATATGGAAGCTAAATAAACCCTTTCCTCCCCAAGTTGGTAGTGGTCAGAGTGTTTTGTCACAGCAATGAAGAAACAAACTAAGACAGATGCTGACAACAAAATCTAATATAACAAGTACTAGTGAGATTGTATCAAAAGGACAGTGTTGGTAGACCTGCTGTGCTGTGTTCCCTTTCCCATACCTCCCTGTGCCCTGCCATCTCTGCTCTGAGGGGGCCCTTGTCGACCCCCCAGATCTGAGAGCTTCCCCAGACCTGCCGTGATTAATGCATCGCTCACTCTCAGCAGAGAAGATTCCTTATGCAGCAGATGGTGATTAACACAGAGAGCCACAACTGGCCAGTGTGCAGAGAATAAGAGGTTGTAAACTGCTTATACCTGAATAGGACACCTATATCAAATTTCTGCCTCCTAAAGCTTGGGGATCATCACAGAAGAAGAAGAAGAAAGATTTTAAGAACTAGAGGTGGTGGATGACCACAAGGAAACAAAATCTTCCAGACAGCTGGTCACTTACTCATATGAAGTCACAGCAATGGTGACAGTATGCACAATTCCCAACTAAGTTCAAGCCAGACAAAAATCCCCGCATATGGGTAAAAAACCCCAGCCCTACCTGAGGAAATATCAGCAACTGATGGCTGCTGATAGGGGGAAAGTTTAAGGGTGAGACTTGATAGATTCACCAGGCTCCAGTGAATGAACCCCCATCAAACAGCAAATGGGGACACAAACCTGACTCTATAGGCCTTTAAATAATATATATTAGAGTACACAGAATTGGGTGGGGATAATAAGGGGGGGTGCAGATAAGGAGATCTAAATATGATCAAAATATATTATATGAAATTTGAAAAAATTCAATTAAAAATGAAAAAAAAGTGAATGATGAAGGGTATGATGAGGTTCACGTTTCTGGGTGATGGAGAAACATTGTACTGTGGTATAGAATACTGTGTAGTTCCTGGAATGTGCTGCCACACTCCTGTACTTTCACTTGGGCTCCCTTTTCCTGGCACAGTTCTCTCACTTGATTAGCTCCCACCCACCTCTCATGAGTCACTTAATTGCCACCAGTCTGGGCTATCAGCTTCTCCTTTGTATTTACCATCACCTGTGACTCCTACCATAGCACTTACTACTCTGTACTGTGGTTGTCAATTTGTTCAGCTGACTCTTCTGCCACGAAAAAATGTTTTAAGGAAATGTTATTTTCCATGAGTTTCTGTTTGGAAAAAATTAATTCTAAGGGTCATCATTTAAAAAGGACTTATAATTCAGTAATAATTATAATACATCTATCAGTATATCCAAGATGGTTACACTAATACAATGACTATGAACCCAGGATAGCAATAGTACTAGCACTATGATGTAAATGATTGTTTTTTTAATTATTATGGCCAGTGTGGTGGCGCACACCTTTAGTCCCAAAACTTGGGTTGCAGAGGCAGCCGGATCTCTGTAAGTTCGAGGACAGCCTGGCCTACATAGCGAGTTCCAGGCCAGCTGGGGCTATAGGGAGACCCTGTTTCAAAAAGACAAAAAACCAGAACAAAACAAAACAAAAGCTATTATGATGGACGCCAATATGGTTAATAAGAATAGCTCTAGTCTTATCCACAAATCTGAACTCTTCAGGCCACTAGTGGGTAACATTGAGTCTGTTATTTTGTTTACGATAATTTCCATACACATAAATAAGAGCAAACCAATAATAAGGTGGGGTTTGGAAGAGTAAGTGAATTTACACAAGAGTGATCAGCACTGCACCTGGGTTCATTGTGCAGTCATCAACATAAGATGACTTGGAGGGCACTGCTGGGTAAAGCAGCCCACATGCTAAGCCTATGGCTAAAGGCTCTTGGAAACCATGCTCTAGGTAAAGTCACTATACAGGTTACAATGTGATTGAAGATGAACTTAAACTTAGTGCCCACAAATCGAAAACTGTGGGGTGACTGAGAGCTTCTAAACATATACTGTTGCTTTTAGCTATTTCTAACCTGTCAGAATGATCTATATTGATGAATATGAAATGACAATAGAGCAAGCTACCTTTAACTCCTTTGGTACATTAAGACTTGTTTCTCACCTTTTGGGTAGATATCTTTTAGTGGGACTTCTCCTGCAGGCAAAATCCTGACTAGCTGATTAGCATGTATAAGAGCTACACAGTTGCTTTGCTTTGGAGGTCTCCTTTTCTTCTTCCCTCCATAAAAGGCTGTATCAGCGGCACTTGGTTTTTCCAGAGGTGATGATCTCTTCCAAGAATAAACTTCACTGGGTGACTGAAAAATAGAAAAAGAAAAGAAGTAAGAGAAATGAAAGTACTAGGGTATATTACATTTATCACAACTTACATATAACCCTGCCTTTTAAGTTGAAATTAGTGGTAAACATATTTCATGGGCACAAAAATTATTTCCCCAATCTTTTGGAATTTGATACAGGAGATATGTGCTTCACCAATAATTGTAACTTTCTAGGCAACTATGAAATATTTGTTGCATTTTAATTTTTAAATAAATTATAACTAAACAAAGGGAATATAGCAGTATAGTTACTTAAAAAAATAATACACCTAGGGCCAGTGAGATGGCTCAGTTTGATCCTTGGGACCCATATAGTAGAAGGAACAAATCAACTTCTGCAAATTGTCCTGATCTCCATATGCAAGCAGGCCATGGTACACACCCACATGCATAATAAATGCAATTTCAAAATTAAAAATGATAAACTAAATCTATGACTTTCCTATTTAGCATAAAGTACAGAACATAACTTGGATTTCTGAAGCCCTTGGAGTGCCCCTTCCCATTCACATGTCTCTGTCTTCCCTAAAGTCAACTCTGCTGGAATTATGTGGGTTTCTCCTACCTTGCCATTACGTCACTTTAAAATTTTATCATATGCACCTATCCTTCTGAAGATTATAAACTATGTTTGTCCTATGTTCTGTCTGAAAATTTTAAGGTATAGTCTTTCACATTTAAGTCCTTAACCTATATGGCATTTACATTTGGGAATGGTGTGAGGTAAGGACTTATGTTCACCCTTTTTTCACATGCACAGCTTACTATCTAAATGCCACTTACCTTTGCCTGTTGATCTTCAATGCTACCATAAAACACAGTTCCATATACCATGTGTGTGCATTTGTTTAGAGACACTGTATTCTATTCTGTATATTTTAATACCCTTGTCCAAGACCACATAGCCTTAGTCTTAGTTAACTGCTTTATAAGCAGCCTTGAAAGTTAGTAGATAAAGCATTATTGTTCATTTGTCTTTTGCTCTTGCACTTTCAGAAAGATATATGGGTTTTATTTGTTCTGCATCCTTATCAGCACTTGCTATTGTCAGTACTTTTCTTCAGCTATTCTAATGGGCATGGGGAAGTATCAACTTCTGGCTTCATTTTTTTTCCATTGACGACTAATGATTTTGAAAATCTTTTCATCTGCTGTCCCTATATCCTCTTTGACCAAGTACATTTCATGCCTTTTGCCCATTTTTCCACATTTAGCATTAATTTTATGTATGTATATAATCAAATATATTTAAAACTACAAGTTTGCATCAATATATCCAATTTCAATCCAATATCCGTGGGGTTAATTCTTCACAAGGTTTTCTTCTTTACAATATCAGCAAGTCCCTTCCCCAACATTGAGAAATTTGTTTTCTTTATCCTTAATATATTATTTGTCTTTAATACACTTCATTATTCTCACGATATTTAATTTCATCCTGAAGTGCACTGTATGGGATGAATCTCCCACTTCCACCATATCCTCTAGGCAGATGCCCTGCTTTCCTGGCTTGGGTCCCAGCAGCCCACACTGGGCTACACCCATTCATGACCTCCTTCCCTTACTTGTGGCACCCATAGCCCACAGAATGCTTCCCTTTCTCAAGGGTGCACCAAACTTGATTAGACATCCATCACATGCTGACCCTCAACCACCATGGATGACCTTATCCTGCTTGGGCTTGACCTTTCACATTTCACACTGGCTTACTGTTTGGTAATTTCAAAAACTGGGTTGTTTACTTACTGTTAAATTTTAAGAATCTTATATAGTCTGGACATAAGCCTTTGTTAGAGATATAGCTTGCAAACATTTACAAAAATATTTCATTTAAAATTTTTATTTTATGTGTATGAATGTTTAGCTTGCATCTATGTAAGTGCACCCATGTTGTGCATTGCCCACGGAGGTCAGAAGAGGGCATTGGATCCCTTGGAACTGGAGTTACAGACGGCTGTTAGCTGCCATGTGGATGCTGGGAATCAAACCCAGGTCCTCTGCAGGAGCAGCCAGTGCTCTTAGCTGCTGAGCCCTCTTTCCAGGCCTGCAATATTTTTTCTTAGCCTATAAATTGTCTTGTCATTCTATCTTCTATAGAGCTTAAACCTGAAGTCTTGATGTAGTATAATTTATCAATTTTTTTCTTTACCTATGATGTCTAAGATAGTATTTGGTCAAAGTAGTGGATCTTCTTGGCTTTTGTTTTTTCTTGAGATAAGGTCTTACTACATAGCACAGGCTGGTCTGGAAATCACAATCCTTTTGCCTCAGCATCCCGAGTGCTGGGATCACAGGGTTATACCACCACATCTGGCTTCCTTATCTTGTTTTTTATAATAAAATGAATGCCTTTAATTTTCACTATTGATCATGATATTTCTATTTTAATTAATTAATTAGTTAAATTTTATGTGTATGAGTGTTTTGCCTACATGTATGTAAAGGCACCCATATATGCAATGCCCATGGAGGCCAGAAAAGGGTATAAATGCCCTGGAACTGGAGTTATTGAAGGTTGTTAGCCACCATTTGAGTGCTGGGAACCAAACCTGTATTCTCTGCAAGAGCAACCAGTGCTCTTAACTGCTGAGCTATCTAGATTATGATATTTCTTGCAGATTTTTTTTTTTTTCCTGGCCATCGTGTGTTCGGCCACCAGCGGCCAGCAGGGGCCACTTGCAGGTTTTTTAAAAATAACTATTTGCTATTAGGGTAAGAAAGTTAAATAAGTTTGCAACAATTTATTGCCTTTAATAACTATACAGAAAAGCTAATAAAGGGTAACATCCCTTTCTTGAAAGTTTCATGAAGAAATATAAAGAAATCCACATAGAAGCAAGGAAGGCAGTGTGGTACAGTAAAAGGACATGGGATAAGAGAGCTAATCATACCCAACTCAAGCCTTAGGTCCCTTACTTTCAATATTTGTGGTGGGAGGACACTCCACCCTTACAAAACCTTATAGAATTGTTGTAAAAATGAGCTGCTATGTATGGAAGGACTTAGAACTGCATTATTGTTGTATTAGGCCCAAGATGTATGCCCATTATAAAATGCTGACTCCTCTGATCTTTCATCTAACAAATATTCACTGGATAACTTCTACATGGTGGATACCAAACTAAATGTCAAGGATATGACTTTTAATTTAATAAGATCACTAATCTTACAGGTTATGGAGGATTTCTACAGGAGTAACATAAATAATACTTCATATTGTTTTCACCTTCTTACCTTTTTCATAGTAACATTTATTTCCACACTAATATCTTCAATCAAAAGGAAGTGATAAGATCAATTTTAGATAGTTCTACCTTCACAGGAAAGCTCTGTTTTTTCTACATAAGCAGCAAACATTGCAGAAAGCATATTAAATATATCTCTTTCATTCCATCAAGGCTGCTGTAGACATTATATTGCAATGTCAAATTTCATTTGAATTATATAACATAAAAGCAAATGCCTTTTACTTGAGAATTAGGAAGGCATATGTTAAAGTCCTAAGCCACATATTAGCTACTGGGTTTTGGATTTCAAATGTCTTATATCCTGAAGCACTCTCTATTCATAAGTTACATTAAAGTTGAAACATTTGAGATTGCCGTATTGTCAAGCACAACCCATATTTTTATCTTTAAATGTTTCTATCAGCTCATTGAAAAGCTACAAAGGAAATTATTTAAATTAAATGTTTAATTAAAATGTAGAGTCATAGCTAAGGTTATTAGATTGCAACTTGTCCTGAAATAACCTTTATATTTAATTTCCCAACATTTTCACTGGGGAAAATGATGTCTAGTTTCACCTGAAGTCAATTACAAAAAGCCTCTCCTTTACAGATAACAGTAGATAACAGCAGAAGGTTGGGTTTAAGAGAAAGATAAGTTGAGCCTTTACAAATTATAGACTCATCTATGTGTTGCAACGGTAAGTTAATCAGAGCAGAACTCAATGAAAAATGAATTGGTGCTCGTGATTACTGAAAATTTAATTTGTGTTTACTCTCAAAAATTCTAGAAGACATGTTATTTTGACTAGTCCCAACTTGTTCCTTTTGACAGACCCCATGAGCACACAACACAACAGTGTGATAAAAAGTCACAACCAGTATGTTAAGTACTAACTATCACATGAACTCCCAAATATGGAGAACCATCATTTCCCTTACCAAATTACATCACTTTTTTGGGAGGGGGTTGGTGGTGGTCGTAGTGGTGTTTTTGAGACAGGGTCTCCCTGTAGCCCCAGCTGGTCTAGAACTTGCTATGTAGACCAGGATGGCCTGGATCTCATAGAGATCTGACTGACTGTGCCTCCCCAGTGCTGGGACTAAAGTTGTGCACCAGCACACCCAGCCACAATCTACTTTAAATGCTATTTTAGGTAATGAAACTACATAAGCAAAACATATGTTTAGTGACTGATTTCAAATGTAGTCTTGACTGAAAATGTTTACCAGAAAATTACTTTCAGTCATCCTTCAAATGGGTCACAATGAGAAGAAAAATTCATTCAATAAATTTAAGACATTGATATTTACCATGAGATCTGGGAAGCCAACAACTACAGTAGCATAATTGTTTTCATCTGAGAGAATACGGTTAGGAGAAGCAATCTTTTGTCCCACGGCTGCACTTAGATTTTCAGATGATAGTTGATCACTTGAGATTTTATGAGGTATGCTGAACTCCATTTCTGAAAAATGTCAGATAAACATTAGACACGATACACTCGTAATATGCTCCAGGAGTTATTACTACTATTATTATTTTTGCAAGAGTTCATTCTCAACAACTCAAACAACAAAGAACAAGATTAAAAAAGACAAAATACTTTAAATTATATTCATCAGTTTTTGTCTGTGATTCCAAGTATTTATGCAATTTAATATTTGTTAGCAGTAAAGATCATCATTAATGAATACTTCCCTGCAGAAAAGCTGTGACTTTGACCCAAGCCAGTATTGGTAATGGCCCATTTTAGAAGTTTTTTCATTAGTACTAGTCACCTCCCCTAAAATGGTGATGAATGAAGTGGAAATTCTGGTACGACAGTCTGTAGAAAAAAGATGTTATCCTAAACCAAACTTGGAGCCTAACTAAGTAAAAAATATGATTCATCAGTTTAAAATTTTCATATAGCGCTTCAAAGAGTGGCCTACTGATGGATATGAAGGTGGAAGACTTTTACTCCTACTTCTAGTGCAGTGACTAAACTTTTACTTTCAGTGTCTGGAGGGCAGTATGTGTACAGAGGTACGCCCACACAGACGTAATCACAGAGAATACGGTATTTACCTTGTGTAACTCCAAATCCTGTGCTAGGCAGCTCCTCTTTCAACATATATAGCTGGCAAGTCCCAGGGTCTTCAGAGTCAACGTGTGTAGGCTTAGTTAAGAGATATTTCCTATAAGCAAACATGAAATCTAATTTAAGTTCTCTTTTTTTTCTAATAATCATTAGGACAGACCAAGAAAAATTAGAATTTGTTTTTTTCTCCCACAGCCTTTTCAAAGACAGTCTGAGATAATCTGAAGTTTAACCATTTCTTTCAACACTAAGGAGTACAATCCAATGAAAATATAGTAAATACAAACCCGAGCAATTCACATTTCCTGACGGGAAAAGGCAGGAAAAACAAACCCAACCCAATTGGGGCATGATTATTTTCAGGGAGTCCCCTCTCTTTTTTGTATGTGTATGTGTGTGTCTGTGTTTCCTTTTTCTTTTTTGAGACAGGGCATGAGTATGTAGCTCAGGCTGGCTATGAATTCATGAACCTCTGTCTCCATCTCCTGAGTGCTGGGATTCTAGGTATATACTAGCAAGCCCAGCAATGGAGTCCTCTCTTTTTAAAAAGTCACATTTTAATTTACTTGTGGGTACATGCCATGATACACATGTGGAAGTCAGAGAACAGCTTGTGGGAGTCTTTTCTTCTACCATATGGGTCCCAGGGACTGAATTCAGTTTGTTAGATATGGCGGCAGGTGCCTCTACCTGCTAAGCCTTCTCACTGGCCCATGAAGCCTCCTCTTGATGTGAGTCTTTGATCAGGCAGTAAGTGGGAATATGACCTCTGATTTATGAGCAGCTAAGGAACAGATCTCCTGAGTTGTTTGTTTTTAAGATTTCTAAAAGGTAGATGTATCAATAGCAAGATACTGTTTTCGGTTAGCTGCTTCTGCTTGTCAGAGTCTGCATTTAGCTAGTAGTACATGAGGTAGAGGGACTTGAAATTTATCCTGCATTCTTTACAAGTCAAATGCTACACACTGTCTTTCATCAGGAAATGTATAGCCCAATCAAGGGATGTAACACTAACATAAACAGAATCATAACCAAGTAAGGGTGCATAAGATGAAAATGGGAAATGTCTAAGGTTTGGAGTCTGTGAAGTTACAAAAAGGCAACAGCTCCAAGATGGCGACTGTGCCTCTTAGAAGACAAAAATTCAAGATCTGCTTTGAAGTATCTCCGATTTGACTGAGCACACAGTAAATTCTTAACATGCCATAGGAAAATCCCAAATACATGTGCATCATATGTTAAAATCATTATTTTTTACTGTTAGTTTCCATGTCATACTCTGAGAAAAGACATTTAATATACTTTAGCTTTTCCTTCCTCTCTGTTCTTCTAAATCTCACCTATAGAGATGCTGAAAAATACAGCAATTGTTAAGACAAGAGACCAATGAGGGTGAGCTAAGCACACCACACAATATTACACATGACAGGGTCACCCACTGATTTGTTGTGTTCTCCACCAGAAGCCACTTGTCTTCAGCTACAAGGAAAACTGTCCTGAGGTTGATGGGAAGTGAGATGGTGTGAGTCTGTCCTTCTAAGACATCCAGTACAGTCAAGCTATTCCTGAAAAAGGAGAAGAAAACTCTAAACTATGGCATAGTCATTTCATGACATAGTATGCAATCTTAAAAAAAGTGTTTTTCAGACTGAGCAACAACATAATAGACAAAATCTCAGCTATGTTAGGGAGATTGCCATATTATCAGTGGCTATTATAAAATTATATCACTATCTTATGATTATTTTGTGATGTTCTATGATGTGGGAAGTGTTATTTTTATATTAAAGCATTTATAATTTTGCTTATTAGTGTTATACCAACCAAGTATAATTACAACAGGAAACAATATAAACAAAATAAGAATCCCAGTTTAAAATCTTCTACGATGAAGAACTTACCCTTTTTCTTTGTAGAATACTAGCCAGTTTTTGTGTGAAAATTCTTTACACATTTTATAAGTTTCCTAAAGACAAAACAAAATATCCACATTAAATGTCTCTTTATCTGCTTCCCCCAAATAAAATTCTTCAATGTATAAAACATTCAGCTCTGAGGGAAGCTGTTTATCCATGCCAAGAGTCTTAGGGCATCATAGATTAAACTATATTTCAAAATTTACCATGTATTATGTATTAAAGCTCTTTAGTCATTTTTGTTTTATTGTTCTGCAATACTGAGGATTGAACCCTGGGCCACTGGCATTGTAGGCAAGCTACATCCCATCCCCTAAAGTCTAAAAAAAATTTGCAATACTGAGGATTGAACCCTGGGCCACTGGCATTGTAGGCAAGCTACATCCCATCCCCTAAAGTCTCTTCAGAAAAAAAAAATTATATATATATATGTATATATGTGCCAAATACTATCTAGAAATAAAGGTGTTGGGGGCTATATGGTTGGCTCAGTGATTAATTGTGGAAATTATATCCTAATATAAACTTACAGGAAATATTTTATTTTTTACCTCTCAATTCAATTATGGCACTTAAAAAAAATCTTTCTTCAGTCTTTTAACACATAAGTATGCTGACTTGCACAGCGTTGGATAAGGTTTATAACTAAATGGTGGGAAAAATTTCCTAAAAATTTATCTAGGGGGGCAAATCAGTTGTTATACTTATGGTTTTAACATAAAAATCCAAAATATAACTTCATAATTGGGAAGCAGGTGACACTGACTGAATGATTAGGAGTTTGGCATGAACATCATCCTCAGTTCCTGATGTTCTTTCCTTTGAGTTCAGTCCTGGCAATCTTCATGCTAGCATGATGGATACAAAAAGAACCACCTCAAGTTTAACTGTGCATCTCTGCATCTATAGTCTTAACATGCTGAAATCTAAAACACTTACCAATTTTCCTTGTAACTTTTTGGTTTTTCTTTTTCCTTTTCTTTTTTTGGTATTAGAAGGGATGGGCAGTATACTGGATAGCTTTAGTGTCAACTTGACACACCTGGGTTGAAGGAGCCTCAATTGGGAAATTTCCTCTATTGGATTGGCCTGTGGCCATGTCTGAGGAGCATCTTCTTGATGAGTGATGTGGAGGGCCCAGCCCACTGTGGGTGGTGCCACCCCTGGGCAGGTGGGCCTGTGTTGCATAAGAAAGCAGGCTGAGAAGGGGCCAGGGAAGCAAGGCAGTAAGCAGCGTTCCTCCATGGCCTGTGCTCCAGTTCCTGCCCTGAGTTCCTACCTTGGGCTCCCTGATGAACTGTGACCTGGAAGATGTAAGATAAGTAAACCTTTCCCTCCCCAAGTTGGTAGTGGTCAGTGTTTTGTCACAGCAAAGAAGAAATAAACTAAGACAGGCAGGTATGCATCTTTGTGGTTAGAAGTGAAAATCCTTAGCAATTGCCCAGGCAGATTCAGTATTCCTTACACCTTCCTCTTTGTTCCACCAGGAAGACTTCATAGATGTTACCTCTTCTAAAGGAAGGACGAGACGATGGATGGTGCGGCCACTGGTATCTAACAAGAGGGTGACATTATTCTGGAAATAAAGAACACAGTGTGAGGTTCAAGTTATTATTTTTCTTTTCTTTCTAAAAAGCAGCCATGTGTAGGTAACCTGAGTGTGAAGGTTACTGTGTAAACCAAAGGAAGACAATGATATTGAAATATATCATGAGGACACTCATTGATCTTAATTAAGTTTGGGTTGTTTTTATGAAGACATTTCTTTTTTTTTAATTTTTATTTTTAAAAATTTATTTTTTATTTTATGTGTATGAGTGTTATGCCTGCATGTAGGTAAGTGCACCTGTGTTGTGCAATGCCCACGGAGGACAGAAGAAGCTGTAGGATCCCCTGGAATTGGAGTTACGGACAGCTGTTAGCTGCCATGTGGGTGCTGGAATTCAAACCCGGGTCTTCTGCAAAAACAGTCAGTGTTCTTAACCGCTGAGTCATCTCTCCAGCCCCATGAAGACATTTCTAACTAGGTAATTATATAGCCTCTCTGAAGATTTTTATCTTAATTTCTTTCTAAATATAAGGTGACTGACCATGATTCTGTTTATCATATAGTAAGGAAAATGACAGGATCATACTTAGAGACTTCTCTTGTTCATGGCACATCAGTAAATCTCATTGTTCTCATAGATCCAGATTCAAAATATGTACATAATAGGAAGATGAGTTAACAAAGGTTGAAAGACTGTAAAAACTTAGCTCATAATGAGTGCTTATCATCTTGAAATTTACTGAGCTTGAAGTGAGGCCGGCTAGAAAGCCAGAGAAAATCATGTGGGCATGGGAAGAAAAAGAAGTGCCTCACCTCACTCCAGGGTCTGGCTGAGGCCTCCTACCAGATGAGGGCTAAAAATTCCATTACAACATTGGCCAGTGGGATGTCACTGCAGGTAAAGATACTTGTGGCTGGTCTAGAACCCACACAGTGAAAGGAGAAAACCTGTACTTTAACTTCCACATGCGCAAGAATGCATGTGTGCACAAGCACATGTGTGTGTGCACACACCCCAATGTTAACAAATTAAATAACTCTAGCAGAATTCACATTTCTTCTGTATAGAAATATTTTAAAATAAGAATGCTAAAGTAACCAGGCTTTAGGCCTGAGCATGTGCAACCCCACTCCTCTCCAGGATATTTTCTAGGGCTCACAAAAGGAGACTATTAACTTTTGTCTACAGTGAAGACATCCTAACTTCTGCAATCTAGAGTTTTACCTTATTGATTATAATCCTACCAGGCACACCTCAGGAACCATCCTGAAATCTCATTTAGATTCCCTAGCAACGCTTTAGAGATGGCAACTTCAGAAATCAACCCAATCCTATAAAGTCTACTGTAGATGACAAAACCGGGCTCTCCTTTGAGAGCCCACACCTAAGCCCTCAGTGTCTTACTCTTCCTGAGCTTCTCTCTTTCTCTTAAATCTCCTGTTAATGAAATCTGTAAAAATGTCTTAATAATATCCAACTCTGCTTCAGCCAGGCTTGTCCTGAAATTCTTTTCTGGGGTGAAGCCAAGAATGTGGCTTTACTGAGTAGAGTTCTCTGACAAGAACTCAGGCTGTGGGAGTGGCAGCGTGGAGCAGTGTCTCCAGCCTTGCTGCCTACAGAATTCCCATTATTGGTGTTGCAATGACACACAAATAAGAGGTTTCTTCAGTATTGTTAAACAGAGCTGTGCAATAAAGTAATATTCTCTTCATAATTGTTTTTTTTTCAAGAAATAAACCTTAAATATTGAAATGATAAACTATGATACATGAAATAAGAGCTTAAAATTGAGAAAGCCAGAAAAGATGAAATATTTTAAAGGAATGCAAAGAAGCTAGCTTTTCTAGTTAAAATGTAAAAGCAAGCCTTTGAAGATTTGACGAGAAACGATGTCTGCAAGCTGCTTGTCAGGCTGCACAGTTACACAACAGTCCAGTCTTTCCTGTTTTTGTTTTGTTTTAGTTTGGGTTCCTCCAGTTATTCTAACTTTTAGAAGTTTTTTTGGAGGAAAAAAAATCACAAAGCACCCAAAGACAACACACACTTTGCAAAATGTAGAAAACAACAAAATATGGGATATTTGCACAATCATTCCATAATAAAAATTAGGCAATATATATTTAAAGCACAAAGGAGAATGGAAACACGGATTATCATGGCTCTTGTCCTCTATGATGTAATCTAGTCAGAGAAATAAAAAGAAATGTAAAAATGCATTTTACAAGATAATTAAAGTGTTCAAGAATTTAAACAATAATTCTATCACAGAGTTTACTACACTCCAAATATTCTGATTCTTAACTATATTAAATGTTTTAGTAAATATGTTGACAAAACTTTAATTTTTACATAAATAATACCCTAAAATGGCATCATTCTGTATAACATGGTATTTCTTCATTAATAATATATATTAGGGGCTAGGGAGATGACTCAGCATTTAAAAGCACTTATTGCTTTTTCAGCGGACCCAGGTTTGATTCCCAGTACCCACATGGGAGCTCACAACCACCTGTAACTCCAGTTCCAGGGGCTCCAACACCCCCTTCTGGCCTCTGTGGGCACTGCACACACACATAAAAGCATGCAGGCAAAATACTCATACACATAAAATTAAAAATGAGGGGGCTGGAGAGATGGCTCAGAGGTTAAGAACACTGGTTGTTCTTGCAGAAGACCCTGGTTCAAATCCCAGAAACCACATGGCAGCTAACAACTATCTGTAACTCCAGTCCCAGGGGATCCAACAGTCTCTTCTGTCCTCCACAGGCATTGCATGACACGGGTGCACTTACCTACATGCAGGCAATACACACATACACATAAAAATAACAAAATATTTTTTAAAATGAAAAAGAATGTATGTTAGATGTGTTTTTAGACTAATATCTAATCCAAGAAGTATTATTTAATGGCTGGACATGGTGGTGCACGCCTTTGATCCTAGCACTCAGGAGACAAAAGCTGATGGATCTCTCTGAGATTGAGACCAGCCTGGTCTTCATAGTGAATTCCAGGCCAGCTGGGGCTACAGTGAGACCCTGTGTAAAACAGCAGCAGCAGCAGCAGCAGCAACAACAACAACAAAAACTCAAAACAAAAGAAGTATTATTTGCTGATATTTGAAAGTTTTAACACTGGTAGGGATAGCAAGGAGCTTTTCTTTGGATTTCTTTTGGATTCCCAGCATCCATGTAAAAGCTATAAAAACCAGGCAGGCATGGTGGTTGCCTGTAATCCTAGCACTTGGGTGGCAAAGACAGGATTCTTGGGCAAGCGGCTAGTGAGATCAGCTGGACTGGTGAGTTCTGGGCTCATGAGAAAGAGCCTGCTTCAAATTATATAAGGTGGAGAGGGATCGAGGAAGACATCTGATATTAATGTACACCCTCCATACACACACAATCACACAACAAATAATAATTAAAAAGGCAAACATAAAATGAAGTAAAAAGAATTTAAAGTCTCCATTTTAGACTAAATTATTTTTTAGTAATTTTTAATTGAGAAAAACTTTCTTGCATGATAAATATGTACAACTTTTCCATAAATTCTTAGCTTTTAAGCAATCTGGGATTAAAGAAAGTCCTAAAAATAGCTAAGCTGAAGAATAAGCAGATGATTAAGAAATGAATTATTAAATGGAGAAATCTGTACAATTTCTATTTGTCTTCCTTTGTAGAAAACTTGTGTGCTCATAGCTAGGCATAGGTGAACTGAAAACCTTGTCTCTTCTAGGTGACAGAAAATCCTGCATTTCCTTGCACACACAGACACACAGACACAGACACACACAGACACACAGACACATACAGACACACACACACACATCCTAAATGCACTGCTGCACTTAGAGTTAGTTTCTATACAGTTGGAAGCATGAAGGAGTTCTAGGGCTCCATCCTTTTACATGTTAATAGTTTCCTTCTGTAAACGACTAATGATATATTCTGCCCGAGTTTAAAAATAGAATTTCACATCACACATGAGTACATGAAACTGAGGTTTTGGCACTGCTTTAAGGGGGCAGGGAGGAGAGGCAAGTGAACAATTTTATTATGTTTGTATTTGACTGGGAGAAAAGTAACCCCTGGATGACCTTCATATCCCAAGTCTGAAATTCTAAACGCCAAGCAGATGTAATAAACAATCCCATGGGAGTGGGGGGAGGGTCTTTATTTTTAGTTTTCCTGTCCTCAGTTAAGATTTTATTTTAGCAAGGAATTTTTGAACAACTTTTTGAACTAACCAAGAGGATGCATCCATAGCAAAACTTAATTTTAAAAAGATAAGGGACAGATTATTCATGGCAGTACGCTCTACATTTCAACTTCATTTTCAGTTCTGTTAGCGTGAGGAAGAAGGACCCGAGGCTGATCCACATTTTTCACTCCACTAGGACAATTCATCAGTTGTTAGATTTCACAGCTTTGTGCTGCTCCTAAGGTATCAATAGGTCTAACATCCTGACTGGGCCATCTCATAAAACAGTCAGCCACAATAATCTCCTTGGGGATGAAGAAAGATGGGTTGTTTGGAGGACAGCTAGAATGAAGTAAACAGACAATTGCTTATGTCTGCTCAGAACATGGAAGCAGCTTTCTGAAAAACCGTTGGAACTGTGGGGAGTCAGAGTCAGGCAGCATCTGAGGACACCATGAAGCCAGGAGTTGGCCGTGGAAGTCAAGCACACAGTTCCTCAATGAAAACCATATTTCCTTTGATGAACATCATCACTGAGCAGAGCATCAGTCCACAATATTGCCAAATAATTAGATTTTTGAGAAAATAAAACACTTGCTGAAAATGTGTATGTGTAAATTTATGTTAATTTGACAGCTGAAAATCTGGTGGAACCTTTTGAATAAATACTTCAAATATTGATTTTTGTCAAATTTGATTAGCTTACTAAATTAAAATCCATCCTGATATGTGCATTCTATGACAAATTTTTTCTGGCTACGGACTCAAGAAAATGGCACTGATATTTTATAAGAAGTCTATAAAGTAAGAACTTCATTCTGATGGAGAAAATTGATATCTGGTTTTGGATGAACTCTGCCTCTAGCAGAAAGTGAAAGTGGAAAAAAAATCACAAAAAACTTAACAAAAGGATTTATAATTATTTAGGTAAGAACTGGTTAAAATTGATTTATTTCCCTAGTGAACTATAGGCATATTATTTAATGTTCCTCTTGATTAGATATGTTATAAAAGTATTGTTTCTTTGTGTGTTTGTGTGTTGCATGTGTAAGTGTTCATGTGTACATGCCTGTGTGCGCACATGTGTGAGGAGCCCAGGTTGCTGCTGGGCTGCTGAGTGTCTTCTATCACTCTCCACCTTATTTTTTGAGAATGGGTCTCTCACCAAACCTGGAGCTCATCAATTGACTCAGCAACACTGACTGGCTGGCCAGCAAGCCCCAGGGATCCTCCTGTCCATTTCATTAGTGGTGGGATTATAGGCCTGCATACTTATACTTGGCTTTTATGTGGGTTCTAGGGAGCCTGAATTCAGGTTCTCATACTGGTGCAATAAACACTTTACTGACTGAACCATCAACCCAGTCCCCAAAGTATTGTTTCTTTGTAGCATACTGTTCTTCAAACAGTTAATGGCATTGCATCTAATACTTTCCTTTTATAAATTAAAAAAATTTTTACACAGATTTATTTTTATCTCTCTTTGTATGTGTGAATATATGCTATGTGTATAGTTCCTCAGGAGGCCAGAAGATGGCGCCGGATCCTCTGGAGCTGTAGTTACAGGCAGTTGTGAGCTGCCCTATGTGGGTTCTAAGAATCACACTCACGTCCACTGGAAGAGCAGTAAGTGCATGTATCTGCTGAGCCATCTTCCCAGCCCTGAATTATTTTTAGAGTTACAATGATTTATTTAGAGAAATAGATCTATGCATGTATGTGGAACTCAAACTTGTATTATGAATCCCCGAAATCAAACTCAGGCCATAAGTCTTGGCAGGAAGTCCCTTTATCCGCTGAGCCATCCATCCATGTTATGAATTATTTAAAAATTTCAACCTATAATACTCTTTTCTTCACATATTAGCAGTGAGGGATAGGGTAGAGTGCTTGCTTAGCACACTCAAGGCACCAGTGCCATAAGAAAACTAATGCAGTGAGTGAATAGGAAAGGTTTAATTCTGCTAGGTTGATCCAATCTGGTTGGATCTCAGTCTTATAATGTATTTACTGGGAAGTTTAAACTCTCTAAGCCTGGTTTTCTTAAACATAAATATGACTAATTCACTGGGCAGCTGGAAGAACCATGTGATACAGATGCATCTCTCACTTGACACAAGGTCGTGATTTAACTATGGCTCTCCTCCTGGAGATGAAGAGCACCGGCAGGAGGCCCCGCTGCCTTCTGTCCCCCTACATCACCAGCCCTCTGCCTCACTTCTTGCTGTTGATTCTTCTTCAACTTCCTATTTTAGTATTTTGACTCCCCAGGGCTCAGGGCTTAGACTTCTCTCCATATACGTTTAGTACTTTAGTGGCCTCTTTCAGTCTCATAATTTTATTTTAGTTTTAATTAATTAATTAAGTCTTTTTGAGACAGGGTCTCCCTGTAGCTTGAGCTGTCCTGGAACTCACTATGTAGACCAGGCTGGCCTTGAACTCACAGAGATCCTCCTGCCTCTGCCTCCCAAGTGCTAGGACTACAGGCGTGCATCACCACACCTGGCTATTTATTATTTTTAAATTTTATGTGCATGTAGGTAGGTGCACCTGACTTGTGTAGTGCCTGCGGAGGTCAGGAGAAGGTGTCAGAACTGAGCCCCTGGAACTGAAGTTCCAGATGGTTGTTAGCCCGCCATGTGGGTGCTGGGAATCAAACCTGGGTCCTCTGGAAGAGCAGCCAGTGTTCTTAATTACTGAGCCATCTCTCCAGCCCCAGTCTCATACATTCGTATGCCAATGGCTCCCAAGTTTAGATCTCCTTTTCTTACCACTCCATTGAACTGAACACACAGAGAAACTTAATGGAATATTTTTTGATGTGCCCTTCTAAACTGATTCCTTCTCCACTTTAGTTTATGAGAACTCCATCCATATTGCCCAGTCCCTAAATCTTGACACTGTCCTTAACTCTCTTACCCTATACATCTGCTCTGTTAGGAAATCCTGTTGGCTCTACCTTCAAAATATATCCAGGATTTATCAGCATTTATGACTTCTAACTTCCTTCAAACCACCAGTATCTTTTGCATGGATCACCTTAAAGCATTCCTTTTTAAAAAAAAATTTATTTTATTTTATTTCATTTTATGTGTATGAGTGTATCGCCTGCATGTGTGTAAGCGCAGTGCTCACAGAGGTCAGAAGAGGGAGTCAGATCCCCTGGAACTGGAGTTATGGACGGTTGTTAGCCACACATGGGTGATGGTAATTGAACTTAGGTCTCCTGTAAGAACTTCAGGTGCTCTTAACCAGTGAGCCATCTCTCCAACCTCCACTTTAAAATACTCTTAATTAGTTTCTCTCATTCTACCTTAGCACACAGAGCTTATTTAACATAGAACAACCAGATAAAGCCTTTTAAAATTTGACAGATCATGCTCCCCGCTTTCACTCTTGGTCAGAGCCCAGAACGTTTGATGGCCTACAATGCTCTGAAGAATGATGGCCTACGACACTCTGAAGAATGATGGCCTACGACACTCTGAAGGATGATGGCCTACGACACTCTGAACAATGATGGCCTACGATGCTCTGAAGAATGATGGCCTACGACACTCTGAAGGATGATGGCCTACGACACTCTGAACAATGATGGCCTACGATGCTCTGAAGGATGATGGCCTACGACACTCTGAAGGATGATGGCCTACGACACTCTGAACAACCTGCCTTATCTTTACAGCAGCTTACTGAGCAATCTTTTGACTTCATCTCCTTATTCTCAAACCCCTGTGTAATCTTCAAAAAGGAAGAGGCCATGTTCTAGCCTCTACCTCAGAACTTAGAATGCCCTTTGCCCAGAACTCTTGTCTTCCAGGTTTCACTCAGGCAATACTATCTGCCTTCTTTGAAATTGCATTCTCATTCTCTCACTTCCCACCTTCAACCCCAGGTATAATTTTATGTCATTTATTTTGCTTATTGTCTTTTCCTGTACCATACTACAAGCTTTCTGAGAATAGGAATCTTTCTTTTTTTCTTGCAGTATTCCCAACAGTAGGCACAAGATAATTATTTAGAGAAAGAATAACTTGCCTAGTACAATACCTGGTAAGTGTTAGGCAGGAAATGGGGACATAAAAACAGTCTGCCTTCTATTAGCATAGTACAGATTAATTAGACCTTTACAATTTCCACTAATTGAAACACAATCACTCTGTATCATCTGTATGGAATTACTTTTAGCCTGACTCTGGGACATCTGTACTTTTCATTAGTGTAATCCTAATGTACAAATCTATAAACATGATGGCTAGGACTTGAGCATTACTAGATACTGAAGGATCCTTCAGTATTTTATCAAGTGGGCTTATACAGCTGTCTCAAAAGAATGTCATTTAGATCTTAGATAAAATGTTATTACTTCATAGGAGATACCCTGGACCCTTTTTAAAGTACCATTACCCTCATAATCTCCTATTCCATTTCCATCTCTCTTTCAAACACTGCCTCACAACTACCAATGATGTTGAGGTTAAAAACTGACCTGTTTCTAGACTTGCAAGTTGTGCTGAAGTCTCTAAGAGAGGAAGACAATAGCTGACCTTTGTGACACTGACAGAGTCAACTCCTGCTCTTTCCCTAGACCCTCTCTTCAATCTTTAATGAAAGCACAGATTTTCAATCATAGCTGGAAATCACTGTTGCCTTTTCAGCCATGTAATTTATGTGTTCCATAATTGTACCATGTGAGCAGGCTGGTGTGTATTACCTGTTCCTCATGCAGAACAACTTGACCCCTGAGGGGACTTCCCAGGGGTGCCACTGTCACAAATGGTCGCCAAGATCCACTGGTTATTCTTGGGAAGATGTGGAAGAAGTCCACGAAGAAGCCATTTTTCCCACTCATATTCATAAAATATAAGGAAATAGGATTGCACGCAGCTACATACAGAGTATTTTCCCCGTTTTCTGAAATGACAAAAAAAATGTGTTAACTATTCAGTTTGCAACCAATTTTCTGATTGGCCGGTCAAGAGTTTTAGCAAAAACTGAAACATGAGACTGAGCACAGAGTAGAAACTTGGCAGATGATCTGCAGGTTAATCAGTTAAACTGGAAAAGACCATGAGAAGCAACTTGGTTGCTCACACAAATACAGATGGGTGACACGCATGTATCAGAGGAAAGACACATTTATTTGGTCTCCCCCAAATTCCACAATATCTCAAGACAATTAGATTAAATATTTGACAATCATCAGTGATAGGAAATTATTCATTATACAGCAGTAAAATGCTCTGTGATCCAATGTTTCCTTTCCAATGTTGTTCTTCCAGAGGGAAGGCAGTTTGTCAACATTATCTGCAAATCCTTCCTTTTTCTAGATAAGCTACTAGGTTTCAGGATTTTCTTGACATAAATAATTCTATTAAAAAAAATCTTAGCCCTGTGGGTGTCCCCAGCTTCCCTCAGCCATAGTAATGAAGCTTTAACCCAAGACAACCTGCATGCTAAGCAGGTGCTATACCACTGAGCCACACCCAAGCCCAGCACCGGGGGTCCTTATTTCCAATCTATTGTTCATATTGAATATTTTTTAGGCAGTCTGCTTTCAATCTGGGCACTTGACTCCGTCTATCCTCTAGACTGTACCGCGATGCTTCTATGGATTTCAAGTGTTTGTCAATCACTCACAGAACTAATGAAAATGCAGATTCTGAATCAGTAGATCTGAGGTGGGCTTTCATAGGCTGTCATTCCAACAAGTTCCCAAGGATGCCAAGACTGCTGGCTTGAGGTCTTCCCTTTAGTAGGTAGGGTCATCAGCTCTTATGTGAACACCTTGAGGCAGGGGATCAAGCTGTTTTTGTCTAGTAAGTGAGTCCAGCATTGCTCATCTATCTATTATATATTTACTGAGCCCCAAATTAAGATACAGGCAAGACCATGAGAGGTACTGAAATTTGGGACATCCTAGAAGATGTGGACCACATATATGTCTGAGCCATATCTATAATATTTATACATATATGCCCACCATATTAGATCCTTAGTACATATAGATATGTACTATAAATATGGCAAATGTAATTAAGTGAACTAACATCAATAAGAATGCTTCCATTAAGTTTCATGTGGTTAGGCACACCTTTAAACAAGCACTCTGGAAGCAGAGGCAAATATCTGTGAGTCTGAGGCCAGCCTGGGTCTACATAGCAAGTTCTAGGGTAGCCAGGGGCTACATAGTGAGATCTTGTTTCTAAAACAAACAAAGAAACAAACAACAAACCAGAAACACAGTCATCAATAGAAGGGCTGAAGAAGATACATATTTAAAAGATTATAGCAACTGTGTATGCAACAGTTCCAAATATCAGACAGAACCATAAAATTTACAACTTACACCTTTTAAATGCATCTACTATAAACCAAAAGAAGTTCAATTTAACACTACTGAGCACTTTCCTGCATGGTGAGAGCAATGGGGATACAGTTGGGAATGCTGACAAAAATGGGCACCATAGAATTATTCATTGTTCTCTTATTACAGGCATAAAGTGCCATTTGGTCTTGGTTCAAACACACAGATATATAATTAACTCCAATTCTAAGCCCTCAAAATGCAGAACAGGTTTAAAATAATTAAAAAAATAAAAACTAACAAAGAAAAAAACCTTGGTTTGTAAACGTGGTTAATTCTGAGAGGAAAAGGCTACATTTTACTGTAGAGAGCAAATGAGTTACATTTTTCCCGGTCAACTCTGAGTGCAGGAGCCACCTGGAATGCTGCTGATAGCAAAGGAAGAAGGAGCAGGCTTAGGGGGAGAAGGGCTGCTGCAGGTGCTTTGCTGCACAGGACCACAGCCCGCTCACACACTTAGGATTCCTAATCCAGACAAGGGCCAAGGTTCCACCTTCACCCACAGACTTTCAAACGTCTTTGCTAGTGAATATAAAATATGTTAATCAGACTACCAATCTTTTACCCCAAACAAACAACAATTACAACCCTGTAACTATCTGAGGGCATATGCCTATTTAAAATAGCTGAGTTAGGGAATAAACACTAACCATAGAACTCACAGAAACAAAAACAAGATACTGACTTTTCCTCCTCAATAATTTTCATCTTAGTCAAGTTACTCTCTCTTCCCCCAGTCACCACTTTGTTTATATCACCTTAGTAACTGACACCAACTGAGGAACTTCTGACGAAAAGTACCCAGGCCCCATTGCATGAGTCAGCTGGTAATGTAATAGTTCAGAAGCGTAGGATGCCAACAGCGCACATCCTCTGTTTGTCATCCTTTACAATGAAAGCTTTAATGACTGTAAGTCAGTCCAGCCCTGCTGTTGTGGGTTCATGCAATCACAAACTGGAATCCCAGCCAAAAAAAATCCAGTGTTTCTCCCTTTTTCTTTTCCCCTTCTATTTTTAGCACACGCCTGGGTGTGTTTAACTTTGTGCTACAATTGTAATAAGAAACAGACATTTGCATACCAACCCAGCAATGCTTATGTGGACTCCACAATAGTATTTTGTGAGGTTGTTGGAGGAAATTAGCTCTAAATTATATATAATTGCTATCCAATCAACCCAGTCACCAAGTCTCTCATAGAGTTCTTGATGTCTCAGGTTTATTTTAATCCCTGTTTTGGAATCATTGCATGAAGAAAAGATCCAAAGAATAAACCAAGATACCGTGTGATACAGCAACGTCACAGATCAAATTAACTTCATCCAGAGGTAACCTCCAAGAGACATACTCTTCAGTAAAGTTCAGGAATCTCGCTTCAAGTTTTTCTATTGGGTACTCTTCTATGTTGATAATCACTGGACCCTATAACAAAAGAACTGTCCAAGTTAAGAATTTTGTGAAGTCACCAAAATATAGAAAATGCACAGTTCTTCTAAAATATACTTTACATCTCAGTATTTAAATCTTGACTCCCCATATGCTATCATCATCTCGCAGAGTACTTGTAGCAGTACTAGCACAGCATGTTTGCTTCTGTAGGTGCTCTCAGACATGCTAGCTCACTGAATTTCCCACTCACTTTTGTTTCAACAAAATACACCATCTATAAAGTTCTATATGATTTCTCATGACCACATTTCTTTCTAATTCACAAATCCATTCTGACCTCCAAATATCAAGACCCAGAGTTGTCCAAACCAGGAAAATATTTGTAAGTCAACAAACCAGGGCTCAAATATATCTCCAGTGTGAAGATTCATTGTTCATTATTATACAGAAATATAATGGTGAAATAAGGGTCTTTTAAATAAACTGTTAAAAATGTGATATTTAAAATATATAAAAATATTCAATTACTGAAAATCACTATTGTTACTTATGAAAGGTAGAGTATTTCACACAGGTGATAACTATTCAATATAAACACAAGCAAAGAAACAAATTTAAAATATGACGTCAGTGTTGGATAGTTAGCTATGACTTCTGAAGAACCCTACAGATCTGATTAGATGGTCAATAACTTGCATGCCCTAGAGTGCTTAGTTAATTAAACTATCGGGCTAGCTATTGGTGTTCTGTCCCCTTCTAGCTAAACTGTGCCTTGGGAGCGAGAAGACTCAAAACTGTATTCCTCATACAACCTTGAGAAACCATTTCTGGAAGTGATTTAGGTTCTCCTACCAAACACACTTGTGTGAGATTTGTGAGGCAGAAGAGAGGCTCTGACAAGGGAGTGCTAACAGCTACAAGCAGGGAGTCTGTGATCTACCCTAGGGACTGACAGACTAGGACTTACTCCTTGATTTTGTAAATAAAGCTTCAGTGGAACATAGTTGCATCTATTTGTTTATGCATTGCCATGGCTGTTTCTGTGCTCAACGGCAGAATTTGTAGTTACAACAGAATCTGTATGACCACAAAGTCTACGATATTTACTTTTTGGCTGTTTATAGGCAAGGCCTGCTGAATCTGCTTTCTGTATAACTCCCAGCAGCTGGGACAGCAGCAGATTCAAAAACCCCTACATTAAAACTCTAAGTCTAGTGTTGCCCCGACTTCTCTTCCTGCTGCCCAATCTAATGATAGGCCCAGAGGAGACCTCTTTCTGCCTGAACCCTTAGAGTGATTTTGACAATAACTAATAACAAGTAATACCTTTTACAGGAAGACAGCTATCACTGTGTGACTAAACAGAGGTTAAAAATTCAAAAAGCAGAAAGTTTTAATCCTGTTAACAAACACAAATAAAGACAAATATCTTTAACTTTCTCAGGAAAATATGCAACATACCCAACTGCCTCTCCCGAAACACAGATTTACTTTTAGAAAGTCTATCTGGACAACAGGAATCACCTACATTGAGTTCTTTGGATACCAAAATGACTTCTAAGTTAGTGCAGAAGCTACAATAACAACAATAATAACTAACATAAGTCATGTCTCCATTGCTGCAGCATCTAGAAAGATATGGACAATTTGTAAGGGTGAATGCTTTAAGAGGAAATAATAAAGATATCAACCTTTGTGTCTATTTGATGGGTTTCTGCTGGACACAAGAGCTTTTGCTCTTTTCCATTTCTTGCCTGACCAATTATCCAGTAGCCCATGAATGTCTCCTCCGGCAGTGGCAATCTGTTAAAGAGGATTGGAAAAAGAAGCATTTTTTCTTATTACCAAGTCATGGAAGGAACACATTCCCCATCTATCACCAGCTGCATACACACATTTGAAGAATTTTTTACTTAGAAAGGAGTTGTGTTCCGTTTTGTTTTAAATGTAATTTACAGCATCATGCTTAGAACATACCACACTTCATCAACTCAGAAGATAAGAGCCTATCCCATTTTCCCTTAATGATAAATATAATTAAGGTAAGCATATTTTTCCTTGAATTGATAAATATTTAATACCTTAATATGTAAATCTATGGTAGAGTATAGGAAAGCTTAAAAGAAATTGGAACAATCTATGAACATTTTCAATCTATTTTTTAATTTTGGAATCAGTAACAACCAGGGTACAATACTCCTACATCCAGGTTGACAAGCTGTAGAGAGCAAGTTCTGTAGACTTTAGTTTGGTATCTTAATTTTTTTTACTTTTAATTCATATGTTATATACAAGCAGAAATGTTCACATAAATGTGTCACTTAGTGTTAAATCCACCCTTGTAACCAGTAATCAAAGAACCAGTACATAAAAGTCCTTTGGGAACCACTTTTCATTGGCATACTCCCAGTAAGGAAGCTTCTACCCTGACTTCTGACAGAATAATTTTGTATCTATTTTGTTTAAAGCAATGTGATTTGTTGTTGTTGTTGTTTTGAGATGAGGTCTCACTATGTAGCCCATGCTGGCCCTATATTGACTATTATCCTACCTTGGTCTTCCAAGGGCTAAGATTACAGGCATGTGCCACCATGCCTGGCTAAAGCAACTTTTCACTTCTTTTTTGAGACAGGGTCTTACTGTATAGCCCTGGCTGGCCTGATAGTTACTATGTAAACCAGGCTTGCCTCTAACTTGTGGTAATCTGCCTGTCTCTGTTTCCTAAGTGCTAGGTTTAAAGTCATACGACAACACATCTGGCAAGCAAATCTTTAAAAATAATAAAACAAAATACATTTAAAGTACCTGGATGATTATCTTGATAGGGTATAGGAGGTAGGTTGGGGCCACACTGAGAAGACTCTGACTGTGTTCTTTTTTAAAAAAGTAACTAAAAATGTATTTCTGGATTAACAGGGCAGAACTCCTAGACTGGGATCTTTCTGTCTCTTTTTAGTTTAGGGAACAAACTGTATTATTCTTTAACTGTTCTCATAAGTCACTGAAGGAGAACTGGTCTCCATATATAGAAGAAGGAAAAAAATAAGGGGACACGTTAATTTCTTTTTTTAGCACAGAAGACATAATATCATAGACTGTAAAGAGATCTGGGTTTTATTTCTGGTTCTTTCATTAACTATCTCTGAAAGTTGAAAAGGAATGTCAGTTGATTTCTTAGCATTGATTTTTTCATGGGTAATGAAGGCTCCTTATGAATCTGTGACAATCAAGGAAGCAAGAACATTGAAGTGCCAGTGTAAAGGGCCTGCATCACCTGGGTGCTCTGGGGTGAAAGCACATTATCAAAATGAAAATATCTGTGCCTGTCAACAGAATAGGGACCTTGGTCAATAGGAATGCTTTATTAAAGAATATAAAAGGAGCTCTAGATAATCCAAAATATGCTGCTTGAAGACAAAAGAACATCTTGAAATCTAGTCACAGGTAGAGAGTTGCTTAATAAAATACTCATTGGTGTATAACCCAGCATAAAAAACCGAATCTAGGGCCAGGGATATATCTCAGCTTAACATGAACAAGGCTCTTGGTTTGATCCCCAGCATTGGAAAAAATCCATTAATGCATCTACTAGTAACTTTACAAATAACATTCAGATGCTAAGAAAAATAATTCATCCATTTGAGAAAAAGCAAATTTGCTCAGATTCTAGTTTTTACTGACAAAGCTAGGGATGTTCATAAAAGTCTGCTTTGAAGTTTCCAACTCATTCTGAATAACAGCCATGGAAATTATAGGCTGCCTAGCTCTCTGCAAAAATAGTACGGACTGGACTGGTTGGCAGAATGTGGGCTGGACCTTCAGGTGCCCCACATAGAATGCATTCCAGAACCCCTAACAAGATGCTGTTAGCAATAACAACCATTGCTGAAAGACACACAGGCAGGTGTCCTAGAGTTGCATGCACTGACACCATCCTGTTCCCTGGTAACACAGTGTTGTCTCTATGGACTCTGACAACAGAATCCAGGCTGGGAAACTGAGGGAAGTCAGGGCCCCTCACTTATTTCCCACTAAGGTCTCTAGGAAAGCTAGGGAGGGAGGCAGAGAAATTTGAACCATTCCTAACTCTCTCCCCTTCAGAAAGTTATTAGTCAGAGGAGAGGGGAAACATTGTACTTGAGTGTATAAACAAGCTCTGAAATAATCAATAATGACTCAGGGGTAACTCTAATAATCAGCTAGTAAAAATGCGTATTTTCCTTTGCTGAAACCTGTCATCCACCTCTGACCACACTTAGGTTTTTGTATCTGATTTGATTGGAACAGTAACGGCATTTTTCATGATTTTAAGATTATGTCACTTGAACTGTTAAACTGTGTTAATGTCCTGGCTGGAATGATGTCTGGATCTGATTTTAAAAGGGGAGGAGATGAACAGAAGGCCTATAAATAGAACTACTTTTTATTTTCAGTATCATTCTCAAATTTATGTTTTTTAAAACAATGTTGTATTTTAGTTCATAAGTTGTGATATTTCTTAATCCCTTGTGGAAGTAATAATAGAGATCTGACTAAAAGTTTTAAATAAAAGGTGAATATCAAAATTATGACACTGGTCAAATTATAGTACTTGACCATGTTACAGAAAGAAACAAGGTTTGCTTTGTTTAAACACACAGACAATTCGTAACACAATGAATGTGGGCAGCAAAGTTACGGAACATCATCTCAAGGACACAAAAGAGATTTGTCTCAGGAAAGCTTCCATAAAGAGGTGAGCTGGGGCTTTAAAAAGCATGTTCTGGCAAATTTCTGCCTTCTCTGAGTCTTTGCCAATACTATTTCTGGAGTCTGAAAGAAAACATATGAAAAAGATTTGGATCTTTCTAGGGGCATTATGTAATTGGAAGTTGTTGACATACCTACTATCAGCAATTCCTAAAACATTTCCTTACCTCAAGAACTACTAATTTTCACGGGAATAATGAAACCCTTCTAGGTAGTTCCACCAACCTGAAAACTCAACAATCACTACCATCTTTGAGAAGAGAGCAATTCCAGTTTTAGTGGGTCTCACTTAGTGTTTTCAATCTAACCTCTGGCAAAAATGAAGTCTGGTTGTCCAGTGGAATTCAATGAAGACTTTTATAGCTCATTCCTGACAAATACTTCCAGCTTTGGCGCTTACCCCTTCCTCCTACTCTTCAGCCAACCTGTAACTCAGTCCTTCCTGAACTGCTCTGAGCTATTCCTGAACACACATTTTCATGCCTCCTCAAGGCCTTTTCCCCTCTCCAGAATTCCTGTGTGCTACTGCCTTTTCAGTAAGATACCTCTTGAGTTAGGGTCTCATGTAGCCCAGGCTGGCCTCGAGCATCCTCTACTATCATGCAGCAGAGGATGACCCTGAATCCTGATCTTTCTGCCTCTTCCTCCCAAGAGTTGGGATTACAGGCATGTACCACCACACTTGGCTTAGAGATCCTTCTTACTCTTAAGGTCCAGTCCAAATATTACTTGCCTTTGAGTCCCTCCTCATATTCCTTTCTGTGAAAAAAAAAAAAAAAAAGAATCCCTTGCTCTTCGGGGTTTCCATATAAATTTAACATATGAAGGTCTTAAACGTTCTATAAAATCTGAACTTTTCCAATTTAAGACAGGAGATAGTATACAATTATAGGAAGAAGATCAAAAATGAATCTATGAAACTCAAGTAAGTATTTTTCTTATTTAATAAAATAAGAAGTCAGCACATGGCTGGGTATGGTGGCACATGCCTATAATCTCAGCACTCGGGAAGGTAAAGCAGGAGGATCATGAGGTTGAAGCCAGTATGTGCTACATAGAGACTTACAGGCTAGCTTAGGCTATACAGTAACCCTATCTTAAACAGAAACACCAGTCATACACTTAACAGAAAATATGAAAGTCCATTGAAACACATGTAATAGTAGTAATTAGTTTTGTTTGTTTGTTTGTTTTTGGTCTTTTTGAGACAGGGTCTCCCTCTAGCCCCAGCTGTCCCAGAACTCACTATGTAGACCAGGCTGGCTTTGAACTCACAGAGGTCCGCCTGCCTCTGCCTCCCGAGTGCTGGGATTAAAGGTGTGTGCCACCTCGTAATGAGTATTTTTATTAATTCCCACTAATATTCTCCTTTGTTTGGTGAAAACTTTAAAATCACGAGTTGCTGGCAAGTTAACATTGCTTTATTAAATATGATATACACACCAGTGTGCTTATGTGTTTTCTCTTTCTGAGCCTGATTCTGAATTTAGTTATTTCAGTTTTCATTTAAGACCTGTACCTCTGCCACCTAGATTCTGAGGTTACAGAAATGCAGTCATTTGGATTCATGAGATGGGAAGATTAGGGGAAAGCTATTCTTGGCCAGATGTTTCTTTTCTTTTTTAAAAATAATTTACTGAGAATTTCATAAAAGATTCTGTTGGAAAAGAGAAGTTGGTCCTAAAATACTGGTTCACATATCCTGAGAATACTTCTTTTCTGATAAGATCCTCTGTTTCTTTTTTTTTATGTACTCTTCTGTTTTTTTTTTTTTTTTTTCTGATAACCTCATGGACTCTTTCTTTAAAATTTTTTTTTATTTATGGGCCTTTTTGCTACTCTAACATTCCCCCCTCTGAAGAGGTAACCCATTTTAAAATCTTTTAAGGATTAGCTAAAAGCTCCCAAATACTTTCGACATTTTTGGTCTTTGGAATGGAGTATGTTGCTAAGAGTTGGCCAGCACTTTTCAAACACACCCAGGTCACCAGAAGGACCCTGGTTCTCAGTACTGCTGCCCAGCCTTACTCAAGGACAAAGCAGATGTCAGGTTC